GGACCGTGTGGGTGCAAAAAAGCTCCCGCTCCGTTTTTTTACCAACTTACTGTGGCCGGGAGATTTTAAATCTCGCGGCCCACAGTACACAAGAGAGAGAGAGAGAGGGAAACGGGGTGGTTGGGAGGAGGAGGGCCTACTCCTCCCAACCTGACAATTGTACTCCCCGTTTTCAGGGGAGGGCAGCAGAGGGAAGGAACAGGCAGTTGACAAACAACTGCATGCTCCTGGCTCAAATCACGGTCAGGAGCATTGCAGTTGAGGGGGTTAGAAATTTTCTTTTTTATTTTTTATTTTTTTTTTCTTTTTTTTTCTTTGCTTTTCGTGAGGACACTTGTCCTCACGAGGTGTTACCTCTGGTACAAGCTGCCAGAGGTAACTGTCACAGTCTTTCAGGCTCCCGTTTTTTAAGGGAGCTTGGAAATTGAGGGGTCATAAAAGGAAAAGGCCAAGTACAGCTTTTTCCCGATGTAACTGCCCTGGGGAAAGGGTCCGGGTACATCGAACTGTAAGGGGTTGTATCAGAAAAATAAAAGAAAAATAGTTTTGGAAATGGCAGGAACCCATCTATCTCGTGAGATTCCGAGATAGCTAGGAAAAAGAAAAGGAAAAATAAAATGGGGCAGTTAAAAAAACTGCCCCAGACTAAGAATGTAGCTGTGGTGCGACCACAGTTAGCCCTGGATCTAGGCCAGATCGAGGGCTCACTTTGAGCCCGCGTTTTTGCCTGGGGGCTGGAGTGACGCCCAACCCTCTTCAGCCACTATATAACAGACAGCTGTCTTCCAGCTGCCACACAATGCACTCGTGATGCCAGTGTGTGACGAACACACTTGAGTGTTGCTAGCTTCTGGAGGTGTTGTCTGAGGCAACGTGAGGAGAGGCTGGAGACCTGCTGAGGAGCGCAAGGAGGAGAGTTGGGCAGCCATAGCCAAGCAAGGGAGCACTCTGCTCCCATCCCCTCTAGTTGGTGTTGGTCCCACAGGACGGACCCAGGGACGTTGCGTGACTGCGGCAGTGCGGCACTGTGGCATTTGGGCCTGGGGCCCAAATTTTATGAATTTTGGCATGCATTTTTCCACTGTAGTGGGGAAATGCTGTCGAAATTACGCAGCAGTGGATAAGCGGCGACAAGGTGGTTCCGGTTTTTCGGCGGTGGTGCGGAAGCGCCACCAGAATTTTTGCGGAGGCGACATTAAGTTTGACGGCGATGGTGCGGAAGTGCTGCCGAAATTTTTGAGGAGGCGACACTAAGTTTGACGGCGGTGGTGCGAAAGCGCTGACAAATTTTTGAGGCGGCGACTCCGTTTTTAACGGCGATAGTATGGAAGCGCTGTCGGATTTTTGCGGCGACGGCAATGTTTTCACAAGGTAACGACAGTATTTTTGCACTGAGTGGAGGTGGGGCATCGACAAAGAGGAGGTGCGTCAAAGCGGTGTTGCATTTTGAAGCAGCGTGAGCGTGACACCGCAGAGACGCTGTGGCTTTGGAGCCAAGTGGCGGTAACGAGAAGACGCCGCCAGATTATTGGAAGGTGATTGTGTGCTGAGAGGGTATCGTGGCAAGCGGTCGTCACAAGGAAGTGGTGTCGATCACTTTGCTGACGACTAGGTGCGATGACCTTCTCGTCAAGAGAGAGTAATTCTATACGGTTTTCTTAAGCGTGCCATTCAACTTCACTTAAGGTCAGTTAATTGATTCAGGCTTCCCTTCACACCTTTGTGAACCCACACTTGCTTGACCCGGTTCATTGAATATTCATTGAAAAGGCAAAGGAATGTGTGTTCGCATGTGAATGGTGAGGTCTGACTTGGATATGGGGTTGCATTGGATTCCTTTGAACTGGTTTTGTTTTGCTTTGCAGTCTGTGTAGGTAGGTAGAAGATGTTTGCAAATGAGGTTGATTGTGTCTACATGGGCTGATGCAAAAGATTGTTTCCTTTCTACCTTTTACATGCCTGACTGTTAAAAGGACTTGTTGTTTTGAAAATGATTATTCAGCGTGTGTCGTCGAATGAATATGATTGAAATAAAGTAGACGAGGTTAAATAGACTTAGTTTTTTCCCAGGATTGATCATTTCTATCTCGAACGACCTTATCTACCTGTACCTGTCCAAATGATTCTCATTTTCTGTATCCTCTGATTCTTTTCGTCTAAGTTACCCTTGACTTAGGAGAAATGAAAAATATATAAAAACTAGTTGCAGTGGATGCATCCACTATCTCTAGGAAGCATCTGGGGCGGGGGTTCGTTGCTTTAAGAGCTGACCCTGTTATCGACCCAGAGTGGACCGTTGTACGGGGGGGTACTTTGCCGATTCGGTGGAGACGACCTGACTTCTGAGATTCGAGTCTTGTGCTCGGGCGAGGAGGAGGAGTACGCCAGACCACTTCCTATAGGGAGAGACATGCTACACTTCAAGCAATTCCCCTGATCAAGAACCATGCGCAAAGTAACTTGTCATCTAAAAAGATTGGAAACGGATGAAGACTGGTATGTGCGTTGAATCTCAAGTCGACGGTAGGTTGAAATAAATGACTTTGGCAACGTGTCTCTTCAAGTTAAAACTAAGGCAGAAGACTGGTATGTGCGTTGAATCTCAAGTCGGCGGTAGGTTGAAATAAATGACTTTGGCAACGTGTTTCATCAAGTTAAAACTAAGGTAGCCGACTACCTTGTCGGCTGCATCTATATTATTGTCGATAGCCAACTTCTTGTTGGCGATTGTATGATTGTCTTGTGACATTCGACCTGATGCGGTCGGATTGTTTTTGATCTTGTGTTGTTGAATGTATCAAATAATGATTTGGATGCTCCCAGTTGTTACTTTGGATTGGATGTGCGTCCTATCGACTACGATCGACTGCTTCCGATCTAACTATGTATGGTTGTTACCACTTTTTTTTTTTTATTGTGTGTTAAAGGGACTAGAATTAATGTTGGGTTTCACTCTTGGTTGAGACCGTCCTAATCGACCAGCGTCCGCTTCGTACTAAGGAGATCAGCGCCCTAAGGGATGTGCGACACTTGGGTCCACTTGGCGTTAACCAAGAGTATCTATACTACAGCGAGCGAGCAAACGCCCTCGGCTGACCTACCTCTGCAATGGCATCTAAAAGCTTTCGCACGTGGGTCAGTAGCTCGGTAGGGATACGCCCCTAAGGGTGGTGACAGCCCCTTAGGGAAGGAAATTTATGCCCCGCGATAACCTATCTTGTCGTAGGGGACCGCAGGATGCTTAGCTGGCGCACCCAGTTAGAGCGGCGAAGGAGCAACGCGACCACGGCCGTCTCGGCGGTTCGTGGGGTTATTATGCGTCGTTCCTAAGTTGTCTCTTAGTTTTGTTTTGTTTATCTCCTGCGTGACATGGTCGGGAGGGCTCTCGCCTTTGCGAAAAAGGGGGGAGCCGATGCACTCGACACGGTCACTGTGGACCTGGTGCTGCACATCAAGCAACAACATCAACATAACTATGAAACTACCCTATCAAAAGAACGTCTTGCAAAAAAAAAAAAAAAAAAAAAAAAGCCTCTAACGTCGCCCTCTCCCTCCAGATGAGCGGCCCATGCCCCGCCCTACCGACGGTGTATGAGAACCTCTGCCTGCAGAAGGACGCGCGCGGCCTCTCAGGTGGACTGTCGACTTTGCGCTCCTCCCGGGCCCCCTCCAGCACCTGTGCCCTGCGCACCACTGATGTATGCCGCCTGTGCTGTTGCGGCTGCCGCGGCCACGACGGCTCTGTGTCTGCGGACCGCACTGTCGATCAGCTCGGACTCTGTGCCCTCGTCCTCGCCCTCGGCCTCCTCTACAACAATCGTCTCTCGCTGCCTAGAATCGCGTGCAATGCTGCCTGGCTGGTGGCGATATCTGCTGCGAGTCGAGCATCAACCTCCGTGATGGCGCTGTGTCGTCTCATCCCATGACGCATCAACAACCCCTCCTCGCCCGATGTGTAGTGTTATCCCTGCTGCATGTCCGTAGATGTCCCTGCGGCCGGGAGGATCAAGGATCTCCTCATCGCCGATCGTGACAAACCGAGCATGCGGCCTGCCATGTGAGGACTCGGACGTCTGGAGCCACCCTCCCTGCTGCCCGCTACCTGAGTCCGTGGTGACAAACGTCCTGCGAAGGCGCCCCTCCCGGTGTCGTAATCCACCCTCATCCGGTTCATGACCTGTCGACGAGCTGCCCATCCGCCGGCGACACCACCTGGGACAGGCGGCGGGGAACCACCAATGTGCGCACAGGTCGTCGTCGCGTCGCCGCCCGCCTCCGCGGTCCGTGCGGGTGGTGGGAGCATCGATCCGGCAGATCCACCGCCGTCACTGCGGTGGCCCGACCCGCCCTCAACCACCCCGGACTCCCTCCCTCCGATGCCGCTGAGCGCCGAACCCGACCATCGAGGGTTCTGCACGACGTAGGCCGGGGGTGAATACGCCCCTCCTGGGGGGCGCCTCTCGCCGCTCCTGTGGCCCGTATGGGGGTAAGGGTCATGTGAACGGAGTCGTGCCAAATCGTCGGCGTTGAGCACAACCTGCGCGAAGTCCTCGGGGCGTAAGAGAGGTAGTGAAGGGTCCCTCACGACCAAAGCCAGCATCTCCTCATCGTCGTCGCCACCGTGGTCGCCACTGCCGTCGTGGTCGTCAGACCCCTCCTCGTCCTCGTCGCCATGGTCGCTGCCGACATCTCCACCGGGTCCACCCTCCCCCCCACCACCCACGGCAACACCCTCTCCCTCAACATCCGCGGGGACACCCTCTCCCCCGCCACCCACGTCGATATCCTCTTGCACAACACCCTCTCGGACCTCTCCCGCAACAGCCTTCCCACGAACACCCACGTCGCCGGAGTCACCGCCAGGTCCGCCGCCACCCCCCCTGTCTCCAACTCCCTCAGTCGACGCTGCTCCCCCATATACGTGAACAGACCCTCCCATCCCGACAAAGTATGCAACCGCTCCTCCTCTCTGTCCAGCCGGGCATCCCGCTCCTTCGCGGTCTCCACACGGTCCCGCACATCAAAGTCGTCGGTACGGAGCTCAGACGGCGAGGCACCACCCTGTCACGGGGCACTAAAATCCCCCAAGCCCCCATCTGATCCCCGACGTCAAAGTCGTCGGTACGGAGCTCCGACGGCGAGCGGCGGAGGAAACCGGCGCCGGATGGAGTCCTCTCCATGTCTGGCATGTCCACAAGCCTCCCCCCCCACGGTCCTCGCTATCATGCGTCTGTTGTCTCCCTGCTGCCGACGCCAACCTCGCCGAATGCCTCATATGCTCGGGCGGTCCCGTCAGGAGGCGAAGCTCTGTCGCCAGAGCTCGATGCGATAGTCAGTCAGAAGACTGACTACGAACCTGTTGGTCAAAAGGACCTCAGGTAGGAGTGCCTCATTGCAGATGAGGCGGGCGTCCTAAAACACTCTCATGTGACACTCAAGATCGGCTGGTGCGGAGGACCCGCGCCACTGCGTCTGAGTGACGCGATCTAGGACGTCTGTTGCATCGTGGAAAGTGTTGTAGCGGTCATGGAGGAACGCGGTGAAATCTGCCAGAGTGGGAGCCTCACCTGAGCGAGTACGATGAGTACAATCTCCCATGCGGAGAACGCGCTGCCTCGCAATTTAGTTGCGAGTGTGGAGCACCACAACTCCTGACGAGTGTGAGGCAGTGTCAGCGCACGTGTGGCAGCCTGCAACCAGTGCGACACACACATAGTACCATCGAAGTCGGGTATGTTCGACAGACGCACAAGGGTGGGACCGCTATGCTGACGGCGAGGGGAGAGAGGTCGAGGGGCATGTACTGCGGCGGCAAATGTCGAGGTCGGTGCAGACGTGGAAGTGGTAGCAGGCTGAGAGTCGGGGCTGCTGGTGGACGGTCCAGCAAACGTGGAGGCAATAACCGCAGCCAACTGTGAGGGAGTAGTGAGGTAGTAGGGTAGAAGGGGGGGAGTCGGTCAAGGGAAATGAGTCGGCAAGACAGAGGTGGGAGGGGCGGCATAAGAAGAAGAAGGGTGAGCAACCTGTGAAGGGTGAGGCTGTCTTAGGGATAAAATCTCCACCTGGAGCTGCGCCACGGTGGCCTGTAGGGTAGCCACCCATTCGGTGTGTGGGGTCGGAGGTGGGGGGAGCGGAGAGAGTACCCTAGCGGGAGGAGGAAGAACTCCGGGCCGTAGTACCGCGACCGGTTGAGGAAGTTGGGAAGCAGCACCGGGGTGGGTAGATTAAACTGCCTAGCCAGATACCGGTATCTGGGCGACAGCACATGCGCCAGTGGCGGAAGCGGTCGGGGCGGCGGGAGCGGTGGAAGCCAATGGATGTGCCGCAACAGACGGTATGGTCTGAGCGGCAGCAGCACTTACCACTGCGGAGGGGGAGTGTTGGACCTGGCTTGCGGAGGAGGACGAACCGTCACGTCTCCGTCCCTAGAGTCGTGGAGAGCCGGACTCCGAGACGGTAGGGGATGGGGTCTGAGAGCGGTGGGGAGAGCGATGAGGAGAACCCTTAAGGCGGTGAACTTCAAGGGCGAGCGCATTGACTTGCCTCTCCAGGGGTGCAAGCGCATCGAGTCGCGCTTGCAGAGGTGCAAGGAGAGACGCAAGAACAACGCGAAGGTACGTAACATGTTGTTCCTGGACCGTCGGGTGGGTGGAGGCCTGAGAGGTGGATGTCGCCGCAACGATCTCCTCAGCTGTAGCCCTGTCCGTGGATGGTGTAGGAAGAGAGGTAGACATGGTGGGAGGTGGAGGGAGAGATGGGTTGTGGTATGGGGACAAGGGACCACCGGTGAGAGGGAGGGGACCGCGAGAGCGGAGTGGGTAGTCGTGGGTCGGCTCGTCCCGTGACCAGCGGGTCGCGCGTGAGATGGTGGCATGAAACCAGTCGAGGGTAGAGGAGTCGTTCGGGTCCAGGGTGCCCAACGGGAGGAGGCGGGAGAGTGGGGGGGGTAGGAGAACCCTAAACCCTAAAAAAACCCTAAGAAAACCCTAACGGGGGTTTGGATGGTTAGGAAAGGGTAGCGGCGACCTAATCAAGAAAAGAAAATAATAACCATGGAGAAGAGGAAGAGAGAAAATAAAATAAAGAGTACAATTTCGAGATTAAAGAAAAAATAATAATAAGAAAAATAAGTAAAAAAGTAAAGAAATAAAATGTGAAACGAGAAGTGATACTTATTTTTTTGGAATTTTCGGCAGCATTTTCCTACCCCCCATGGGGTCAAGAATGTGTCAAGAGGAAGGAGAGACCAAGATAAGCTCACTAAGGTTCAAAATGGCGCAAACTATAAATTTCAGAAAATAAATAAATAAATCATAAATAAATAAATGGGGGGAATGTAGAGTGATGAGAAACTAATTGTTGGATTTTTCAAAAATTTTAGCAGCATTTCGTTACCCCATGGGGTCGAAGTGTGCCGTCAAGAAGAAAGACTAAGTAAATGTAGAAAATCTTGCCACCACTTCGCTACCCCCACGGGGTCAAAATGTGATGAAAAGACTAAGTAAAGAAAAAAACAGAAAATTTCGGCAGCACTTCGTTACCCCCACGGGCCCCACGGGGTCAAAATGTGTGCCAAAAGCAAGAATGACTAACTCCAAGGGGGCACAACCATGCACCTGCCATAACCTAATCTTGGTCGACGAAAGTTGCTAATCCTAGATGGGCTGCAGAAGGAAGGAGAGAGATATGGGGTCGGTCAATGGGCAGGATCTATGCATCATACATATCAGTATTACTACCTAATCAGGGGCTTTGCCCGCTGATTATAGATACGGCGAACGAATGTGTTGTTGGAGTGGATATAGTTTTATCAGGATGAAGAACTCGAGATGGAAGATGTGAGTATATCGATAAACGTCGACTTTCGGGAGATGGATGGCAAACTTCATGCTGTGATCGTTATCGTCCACCGTCGATGACAACGGACTTTAAGCTGTGAGTGGGGTTTTCCACTGTTGCCTTTACTCCTACTTCGGGCGGGGTGTTGCTTAAGACTTCTTGATTTTTGGTGTTTTGACAGTTATTGACTGTGTTTCCCTAAATTGCAAGCGTTGCAAGTATAGATGATTGTGTTTTTCTATATTCTAATCGTTAGGATAAGTCTTGTTAGTATTTGTAATTGGTATTTTGTTGACTGACAATTCGACAAGGGTTTTCAAAATTCTAATTAGGTGTCCATGTTGTTAGTACTTTTAAGATGATTTTAGAAGTGTTACTTCGTTGGATTATGTTCCCTGTCGGTTTTGCCCATGGGTTGGGTAATTCCATGACATCATTGACTATCCAGGGGTAGGACACTATTGATTTTTTGTGTTCTTAGTCGGTAGTGGGTAAGTAGGATGAAACCATTGAATATTTTGTTTATGTGTTGGTTGGTGGTCTAGCTTGGATTTCGCTAGATTAGGGTTGTTTCATAATGGTGATTTGGAGAAAGGGATAGATTAGGATTTGAGTCTTGTTAAATTAGGGAACGTGAATTTTATTTTAGGGTTGGGATTGGGATCATAGGTTTCGTAACCTTGGTTGGTAGAGATTAGGGTTGTTTGATAATGGTGGTTTGGAGAGGGGGTAGATTAGGATTTGACTTTTGTTAAATTAGTGAACGTGAATTTAGTTTTAGGGTAACCATTGGGATTGGGATCATTGGTTTTCATAACCTTGTGAGGCTGTGGTTGGGATTGGGATCATGGTTGGGAGTGCCTTACTTAGCCCATTTGATTGCAGCAAATAATGTAAGGGATGCGGGTCCGTTTTTCGGATATATGAATAAGAATTGTGTTCTTCTAAAAATAAAAATTAAAAAAAAGGATCCTGAGGCCAATGTTCGTCCAATCTCGACATACTCGACGGTAGTCCTTAAGCAAGCCTTTCTGTGTATTTTGTTCATTCCACTCCTCCCCCCGGTGTTCCCTCCGTTCATCTTTTGTCCATCGCACCTGTGCCATCCGGCCTTCTCGCCTTCCCCCCAGCTAATCCTCACCAAAACAGGAAATGATCCGGTCAGCATCTCCCCATGAATGAATGTCATCCAATTTCACCTTGGTTGCCTGCCGCTGGGCTGTGATCTCACTTTGGACCAAGAGTTTAGGATGCTCAGTCACCTCCCCTTCCTCTACCAATAAKTTTGTTTTTTTTATTTGACTTCATTTACGAATTTCAAAAAATGAAAAACGAAAAACGATTAARAAAAAAAAAAAAAAAAAAAAAAAAAARRRACTTTWTTTTYYWKTTTTTTYWTKWCTAAWCATTTTGYACARKTAWTTTTYTTTTTTYTTYTTYKTYTTYTTYTTTTYYTTYTTTTTTTTTTYTTYKTTATTTTCTTCTTCTTCTTCTTCTTCTTTTTCTTCTTCTTTGCTGTTTTTTTTTCTTCTTTGTTTTCTCCTTCTTCTTCCTTGCTGGTTAGAAGGATTCACTATGTTCGCTATGCGTATAACTTCCTGATTGGAATCATCAATTTTTTTCCCTTCGTGTTCTTCTTCTTCTTCTTCTTCTTCTTCTTCTTCTTCTTCTTCTTCTTCTTCTTCTTCTTCTTTTTCTCCTCCTCCTCCTCCTCCTCCTCCTTTAGCTTCGTCTTTGGGCAATTCGATGGCGGTGGTTAGAACATGGAAATATACGTTGCCGCACTCTTTGGGCAATTCGATAGCCGTTACGACGAGATCGCGTGGTTGAACGAGTAATCGCACCCACTCAGTCGAGATGCGTGCTGCCCAGTCTCATAGTTGTCGGAGGATGGCGGTGTGTCGTGCTGGATGCAGTGTCGTAATGTCGCCTGTAAAGACGACAATGACTGACACGTGGCTCTCGCCGGGTGGGGACAAGCGTAAGAAGGCCGACACCTCAACCAATACTCGTGCCGCCCTTGACTGCACGAATCGGAACTCCGCCGCCACGTGAATGGCTGTTGTACTGAAGAAGGCCGCGAATTAGAGAAGACCTGGACTCAATCGAGGATGCTGTACTTGCCGAATCGCAGGGAATGCTCCCCCGGGTACCAATAGAC